AGTGACATTATGGTAGATATTCAAGATACAGAATTAGATGGAAATCTCAGTGTAGATATTATAGAAAATACATAAATACAGCTAAAAGAGAACTTAGGGGTAGACATTATTGGGGATATTCAAAATGGAATAGTGTGGAAAACTGAACTTAGATTTTATAGAAGACATATATCCACAGAGAATCAAACACCGGGATGTATATTCAACAATTAGAACCAAGTTGAAATATCATCCCATTGTTATTATACATCCTAATGGCTACTTTCAGATTCTCTCACCAGTGGTTTATGTAGATCAACCGTATTCAACCTTCAAAGCCTAGTTATTGCAGTTAATCTACATACATAACTGACGAGATCTGAACATATTCAAGACACGAAAAAAAAAAGGCAAAATTCTAACGCGTACACTGTGTGGTACTTTCAGGTAAGACACAAGAGAGACACACATTCAGAGTCACAAGACAGGTCCGTTTAATAACAGGAGATTCGATAAGATATTTACTGCTAATGTAATTGCATGTTCTCTGACAGTTACAATAAACAATCTTTATTTAATGCAAAGAAAGTTAAAAATATACAATTAACTAATCATAAAGGACAGTTGGATAGTTAGTGATAGATATTTCAAAAGACTGTATTCCAGGCTAAATTTCCTGAGATCTTTTTTGTAATTTCAGGAACTGTATTGTGTCAGAGAATAACAATATTATTTTTTCAGAGATGTCTTGCAGTGTGTACATACTGCTTTTAACATTATGTGGCATAATTACCTCTGATCTCGTTTACATAATCCTAACGTTTATAAAACACTAAAAAACCAAACATTGAATGTAAAATAACATATTTTGAATTTCTGGACCAATTGGCAGAAATGACTAGTATTTTTATTTTTTTACAAATTAACTAATATTAATATTTTTTATCAATCCTCCATTGAATCAGAACACCCCTAATTATATGAATTTTATAACTGCTTGATTTTTTAATTAAGTCATATTCAGTCCTACATAAGACTGTAATTAATATACTGTTTATTGGTCTAATAATCATCACTAGTCTGAAACCTATTTCCGATTTTCATACAGTTTGTGTAAATAGTTTTAATTAAATTAATATATGACATTTCTCCGTCAAACCAATTGTATTTGATTATTAATGAGACACTTAAATGTAACCTAGGCATAAAAGAGACTGCGATAAAGTTGAAAAACTGAATAGAAAATACTTCAGGGCTTTGTCACCTGTCTCCCGGTTGGTCGATGGTAAGTGTACGGACTTATCACGCTAAAATACTGGATTCGATTCCCCGTGGTTGACAGAGTGCAGATATTCTATTGTGCAACTTTGCACTAAGAAAACAACAACTTTGTCACCTGGATCATCCGTGGTGCACTACTACTTGGAATACCCCAGGACTTTGTCACCTGGGGGCATTAGAAGGAGTAGCGTAGGGGTCAGCTGGATTCTTAATGGTGCATTACAAGGAGTAGTGTAGGAGTCACTTGGATTCTCAGTGGGTTTGTTTGTTTGTTTGAAATTAAGCACAAAGCTACACAATTGGCTATCTGTGCTCTGCCCACCACGGGTATCGAAACCTGGTTTCTAGCGTTGTAAGTCCGCAGGCATACCGCTGTGCCACTGGGGGGGGGGGCTTCTCAGTGAGGGCATTACAAAAAGTAGTGAAGGAGTCACTTGGATTTTCAGTGGGGCATTACAAAAAGTAGTGAAGGAGTCACTTGGATTTTCAGTGGGGCATTACAAAAAGTAGTGAAGGAGTCACTTGGATTTTCAGTGGGGGTATTACAAGAAGTAGTGTAGGAGTCATCTGGATTCTTAGTGAGGGCATGGTTATAAAGAGTAAAGTAGGAGTGTAAATCTGACCTGTACCCTCTTATTAGCTTCATTTGTTTGTCGGTGCCGATGTATCAAATATATTCAGTGAGTCTTGTTGCCAGCGTTTTCTGTGTAAAACGTACACATTCAATTTCGTTATGCTTTTCTATTTCTAGTTGATTTATCACTGTTCGTGAGTACGTGGGAGTTTGATTTATCTTCTTATACATTTTATTATTACAGCAATACTACATGGCTCAGGTTTGGACTATCATTAAATAAACAACTCTTCTCGATTAATATTTATAAAAATACTTCTCGTTGGTGTCGCTAAGCATTACTCTAGCAATCATAAGCATTGCTCTAGCAATCAAGTACAACGCTGATAATTTCCTGATATATTAATCCAGCATGAATAAATTGTTGACAAAGTATTTAGATAGACAAATATTAGTTCGGTAATTTGTGATTTATGAGATAGGCCTAGAGAGGATTAAGTTGGGCTCGCCATAACAGTAGGGCAGTTAGAAATCGATTGGGCTCGTTTTTTTTGTAACTCACAACTCTTTAAAGTAAAACACATTAAATATATACGTGTGTATATATATATATATACATGTTTATTTTATGCCATTCAGTAAATTTTGTAAAGCGCCCATTCGAGTAACATGAAACTTTTAGTACACTGTAATATTGTATTTTTTTATCAAACATATCAATCTAACTGATAATGAATGGTAATTCTAGGTGGTTAACGAGTTTTTATATTTTGTTAAAATTAAAATGAAACCGCTTGAAATTACAACTAATTATCTTTGTAAGTATAGCTTGTTTTATTTCGCAGGGGAAAAAATAACGTGCTTGTTCATGATAACGTTTGATCAAATAGTTTGAACACAATTGAAGATTTTCTAAACGATGTGTATTGTATGTGCAAATATCGATAGATATATATAATTAACTATAAAACTTTGATCTCAGCTTGGTTTCCAACGATATATGCATACCTGAAACAGCACAATACAAGTGATAAGTGTAAAGATTTTATCTGGTTAAATAAATCACATGTTAGTTATCAATACATCTTAAAATTTCATTTTGTACTTCGAGAGCGTATACACATTTTGCGTGTTAGATTCACAGACACCACCTAGCCATGCTACCGCGGTTTATATTTAAACCTATTTCTCTCGTTTCTTTTTTTTTTTCTCCCAGTGGGACAGCGGTAAGTCAACGGACATACAACGCTATAATCTGCTGTTCGATACCCCGCGGCGGACACAGGAGATAGCCTAATATCGCTTTTCTTTAAAACAAACAAACAATCCTGTTTCTCTTTTGCAAATCCAATGTTATGAAAGCTATAAATCTAAGAACAAATTCGAAAAGAGATCAGATTCCTTTATGCCAACGTCACAAGATTCATTCGTCTAGCCTTCGTATAGTGAGGTGTTTAAGGTATTTCTAAAACTTTCTGACATACTTTTGAAATTAATGTTGGTTTAACGGGTGCAGTATTGATGAAAATTATTTTTACTAAATACTAAAGGTTTTATTTTTGTAGAAGATATTTTTACACATTTCACCACGATTTACGTTAATGACAACGTAATTATATCCTTTATTACCGCTAGAGGCATAACATTCGTAGATGACATTTTAATTATATATTTTATCACCGCTAGAGGCGCAATATTCGTAGAAAGCATAAACTTTTCATAGCCAGCAGCACTATATTTGTACATCAAATACTTACACTGTTCATTACTGTTTTTTTTGTTGTTGTTATTAAGCCCAAATCTACACAATGGGCTATCCATGCTCTGCCCACTATAAGTTTCGAAGGAAGGAACTATATTCGTATACATAGTATTCTTACCACTAGAGGCAGAATGTTTGTGGATGACGTACTTACACTTTTAACACTAGGGGGAGCAAGACTTCTAAGTTAGTTTACATATTTTACTACCAAAGCAAAATTTTTATGATATGCCCAAACTTTCATCTCTATAACACTTCAATGTTCATTATCATTGTAATGTTTCAATTATTGTTTACATATAAACATATCGTTTTAGACAATAGTGAAAATATTTAGATTTTCAGCTTTTTTGTTTTGTAAACCGTGATATATACATTAACTAAATACAAAACAAATATATACTGCGTTGTGTCAAGAGCTGAAGTTGAATTTTATTGTCAAGAAGTTCGCTTTTAAAAGACCATGAATGAAACCGAACGTTTAAAATTGTCATGAAAAACGTATTTGATGTATCTTATTCACAACTAAGAAAGAAACTTCCATTCTGAAAAAAACATAAATAATTAAAACAAACTGGCTATTACTTCTTCGTTTTAAAACCATGTTCACATCTCTGAGTGAGAGGACAGTAAACATAACACTAGGTAATACAAAAAAAAGATTCAAGATTTTGTTGAATCATTACAACGAGAAGCTTTCTGATTTCCCTTTCTCAAGAAAAGTGCAGTCAATGTTTGAGACAGCATCTTGCACAAGTCATTGGAAGCTAGTACAACAATGAGTTCTTCCTCTAAAATCAGTCACTTGGAGATATTAAAACAATGAGTTCTTCCTCTAAAATCAGTCACTTGGAGATATTAAAACAATGAGTTCTTTCTCTAAAATCAGTCACTTGGAGATATTAAAACAATGAGTTCTTCTCTAAAATCAGTCACTTGGAGATATTAAAACAATGAGTTCTTTCTCTAAAATCAGTCACTTGGAAATACTATTACATGGAATCTATACTCCGATAGAGTATAGTATCTATGCTACTAGGCCTACAAAACTGTGATGGAAAATTTGTCTATTAACTATTGTGAAATTGATCGAAGGTTAACGTCACAAGTGGAGTCTGTTAGGCACATTACAGCCAAGTTTTAAGGCTAGGGGTGTAACTTGGTGAATGTATGGTAAATAGAGTTATCGGTCTCAGGACTAACTCAGTGAGCCTAAGTAGTAAGCCTTTATCTCATTTAAGTATTGTCTACGTGTTAATCTTCTGGTCATTCAACAGAAATAGCTTTCACCACAGATACTTAAAGTCGCGTGTAGCATCTCTAAATAACATCATTTTTACGTGACTTGTAAATGAAATGATATAAATTACATCGAATAACAAAAACTTGGTGTTGTGGGGAAACCATATTTTTTATTAGAAAAAACAAACATCAACATTTATATCTTATATACAGTAGTGACAGTTCAGCCAGTCACAACTTCTTAATTAACCAATCACAGTTTGGTATTTAACTCACAAAACATTTCGAGTATAATATGTTAAATATTATGATTATTCTGGAATGTTAAACATAATCAACAGACCTTTAAATATAAAGTATTACACTTGACAGTTTTGGTTGTTGGTTTCTTCACAATTGACAAATATCTTCATGACTAGACTCGTGGACCTAATATATGAAATATATGGCGACTAGACAAGCAAATAAAGTGTCCCAAATATGATTACATAAGAACCAAAAATCATCATGATAAAACAATGTAAGTAACCCTCTCTAACTATTAAACATTTGCAACCAACTAACATGTATTGTGTGACAAAGAGCATGTGCTTATTTAAATTTGTGTTTATTGACTAGATTCATCGTTACGTGTAGTTTGCTTCTACTTTGTAAATGTATTATTTTTCTGTCTCTGTTTACGTATTGATTGAGTAAGTACATCGTTAGCAAAATATTGCGTATTTAACTTAGTTGTAAGAAGCCGAGATACTTTAGTATTTACCTTTTGGTGTTATGTATGAAATTGTCCGTTTCATTCAAAAACCGGAGCAAGGATGAATCGGAAATGTGGCCACGCTTTAGGGAAATACAAATTAAGCTAAAATCACGTACTTTTTGTCCTATGTTTTAAGTCATAGTACTTCGCCGTCTCGGGAAAAACGCTAACTGACCCTGTGTTAATATGATAAACTGATGTACTAATCGGTTCCATCCAAATGTTGTCCACTATTTCAATCCTCCATTCTCTATTTTCTGCTTTTATCAAAAATAAAAGAAAAAAAATTCCAGATTGTTTTTCTATACAATTATGGAATTCGTAACCACATTACATTCAACTTATGTGCAAGTAGAGAAATACTGTTTTTTTTTCTGAGCAAGAGAATACAAATGATTGAACGCAGTGTAATTGGATAGACTTGAATTGTTTACAAAAACACCTTTTGAAATAATAAAAAAAAAACGGTAGAAACTATCAAAGTTTGTAGACAAGTTAGATGTATATATATAAAGACTTAAAATGATATTATTCAAAAATCCCCGAAAAAACTTCAAGCCAGAATCATACACTGGATTCACCCTTTACCTCAGCATTGGTGACTATGACATTATTCCAGTGACCTAAACCTTGACACGTACTGGAGGACAACGTGGTCTAACGATATCCAAACATGTTTCTTGTTTCGCAAAGAATTCACAAGTATCTTGTTTCGCGTTAGACAGATTGAACACAAATGAACACTGTATAAGTACAAAAAAACAACAAAACAAAAATGCAAAATATAATAATAATAATGTAGATTATATATACACACATACGTATTATACCATTTTAATTAACAATTAGTAGGACTCCGTATCATGTGAAGCAGCATATATGAATGTACATTGTAACTGTCAACAATATTTAAGTTTTATAGGGTCTTTTTATACAAGGGAATATTTGGAGTAATACGTCTTGAAACAATTAAGTCAACTTTTTAACCTGAGTTTTACCCCACTGTAAAACTAAAGACAGTTTTTATTTAAGTCCTGTCTACCGAGTCATCAGAGTAATATTTATAGTATCTTTTTTTTTCCAGCATGCCACGTGCTACTGAAAGTTGAATAAAAGGAATATACAGTATACGAAACTCTACGTCACGAAGTATTCCAACAAATTTATCACGTGATTAGGACATTTTGATTATTTTTTTGTTTACACACAATAAATCCTAGCGACACGTGACAGCATCAACTATTGAATTCGTATGAGGGCGGTCGTACGAACAGCCACGTGATATAAACAAACCACTAGAAATTCTGTTTACGTAAGCGTAACAATGTTTTAGTTTTACGACTAGTCAGACTAGATTGGGTGGATATACTAATTAACATTTCTCATAAACGTGAGTAACTGAAAAACTAGTATAAAAAAGTGGGTCTCAAAAATAGTAAAAATATACACTTATGAATTAATATTGTAAATTGTTATAAATCAGTGGCGTAGTTATGAACAGTTATTGAAGTATGAAAATAATTAAATATCTCATGGAGAGGGAGGGGTAGTCACGTAAGAAATCAAATAGATTGTTGGGAGCTTATTACATTATTAGCATCACCATACTTGCTTATACGAAAGTATTTTTAATTGTTTCACTTCCATAACAATCAAAATTACATTGTTTATCCTAAGACGTAGCATACCCGGCGTATATGGCACTGGTACATACGAGATACTCGTTTCGACGACGACATATCTGAAATATGTCGTGAATGAACGCCAAATCCCTAAGACAAACCTTGAAGCAAAAATTAGTTTTTCCTAATAACACTTTTTTTTAAGAAGACGATTCTCCAAATGAGTAACCTATACATAACTCAGATCTTTGTATTATATTCGACGGCGTGTAAAGTTAACAGCTGTAAAATGATAAAGCTAAATTCCATGAACTTCATTCTATCAGCTGTAATTTTGTTTTCCCCTTTGTTTAGAATACCCATAATTTTAAGAGAACGGTATATCTTCTACTTACCATTATCATTTAAAAAAACTCGTGTTACACAACTGTTACCAGTCCACGTGCACAAAGTTTTAACAGCTTTTTAACATACGTTTAAACTATGTGGCATAAAACTAATTCATAGACTAGAAACATAAATTTCACGCGGATAAACGATGAAATTAATACTTATGCATACGATAGGTTCTGATGTAAATAAAAGTGATTAACCCTATCAGAAGTCATTGCCCTCGTACACCTCTACTTAGTTTAAGACTAGATTTTTATCTGAAATATCGTAACCGAAGAGGGTGAAGCGTTGTTTCGTCACTTTTTACCACTCTTACAAAAAATAAAATATTAACGTCTTCATAAGGCTTTGCTAATCGCTGGAAATATTTGTTACGACATAGGTTGAAATATTGTTAAAAATTGATTATTACACGTAATACTAAAAATTAACTTATAACTGCAAAGTAGCAAAACTTAAAGGATCTTATTAAAGTATTAATAAACTGTGATAATTCGATTATAATTACTCTTCCATCTTGGATGCGTTTAACAGTGAACTCTTGTGTGTGGAGGAGGTACTAACAGGGACAGAAGTGGTATGGGAATAATAATTCATGAGATTGTGACTCCGAGACGTAGTTTCCTTGCAAGGAATGTGTGCTGAAAAACACGTGCAACTATTATACATATAAATATACGGCATTACACGTTTAAGACGTTATCCTCATTTAAGGATTTGTTTCCCCAAAATGACGAAATAATGTAGTATTTGTACACGTCAACTTATGTTAGATTTACAAGTTCTACTGTTGGCGTGTTTGTCTCAATAGATACACGTGCTGGACGTAAAATTAGGTTTACGTCACATCCCTCCGTTGTTAAGTGAAGCCTACATCACCCGCGAAATGCACATTACCGTTTATATTAACCTTCACGCTAATCCCTCCAAGTCTTATAAAACCTAGCTTCAACAAAAGTAATAACACTTATCCATTTCTATATACAAAGGTCATGCATAATGTGGATAGGAGCCAATGTGTGAGGTAACGTGACTTGGGTGGTGGGGCATGGGATGCGTGGATGCCGCTGCTATGTTGGAGTACAAGTTGGCACTCGGACTGGTCCAATATGGCGTCGGTGACGGAAATATGGTTCCTGTGGTGGAGGGTATGCCCGTGTGAGCACCCATTGCAAAGTTCAGCTTAGGACTGTGGTGGTATCCAGACATGAAGAGGTCTGACTGGTACTTGTAAGAAGTCGGGTCTGTGGCTGTGGGCTGAGTTGCCTGAGCTAGGCCCTGAAAGTCGAACTTGTAGGCATAACGTTTCCCGTGAACCTTTGTCATTATGTTCTTATCGTAATAGTAGCGTAATGCCCTACTGAGCTTGTCGTAGTTCATGTTGGGTTTTGACTTGCGCTCCCCCCAACGGCGAGCTACTTCATCCGGGTCTGTCAATTTAAACTCGCCATTGGTTCCTTCCCAAGTAATACAATTGGCGTTGCTGCTGTCCGAGAGAAGTTCCAGAAGGAACTGCCACAGTTGAATCTGGCCGCTTCCTATAGAGGGCGTAAAATGGTAACAATTATATGTTTAGATAGAAAACAATAACAATAAGCAACATTGGTTTCATTTAAACAGTCAAGGTATTACTAAGTTGTATATGGTGTATACACATTATAAGAATAATAATCCTTAATTTACAAATTCTTAGAAATATCAATGTTTTGACGTCAGGTAATTTACTTTTCACACCGACTTGTATCTTTAATATACATTGAAAACGTACATTTTACTTCTGTTATCATATTGAAGTAAACAGTATTAGGATTGAACGGCTGCAGAGACTTTACGCATAGATTTCAAAGTATGTGCTAATCATACTTCATTGTTAATCTTTTGATCTCATTCTGTTACCTATAACAGTCTCCCTAATCAAACTGGTTCCACCATTCAAAGTATGTGCTAATCATACTTCATTGTTAATCTTTTGATCTCATTCTGTTACCTATAACAGTCTCCCTAATCAAACTGGTTCCACCATTCAAAGTATGTGCTAATCATACTTCAATGTTAATCTTTTGATCTCATTCTGTTACCCTTAACAGTCTCACTAATCAAACTGGTTCCACCATTCAAAGTATGTGCTAATCATACTTCATTGTTAATCTTTTGATCTCATTCTGTTACCCATAACAGTCTCACTAATCAAACTGGTTCGACCATTCAAGTGTTTCCGCCGGACAAATTTCAGTTCACAACGAAACCAAGAACTAAAGTAGATCATTAAAAAAAGTTTCAATTGTAAACAGTTTTCTGCAGTGGTTTGCATTTATTGTAGATGGTTATTAACTATTGGATATACTCACTTCTATTTCTGCGTGACTTATACATTGTTATCTCAACAGCTCTTTTGACTTACGAGTTCTATATGAGAAACTGTACTAACAGAAATGTGGCGTATCAACTTCACAACCATGGTGAATAGTGAACCGCAACGTTGAGATGTTGCGTGTCAACTTCACAACGATCGCCATGGTGAATAGTGAACCGCAACGTTGAGATGTGGCGTATCAACTTCACAACGATCACCATGGTGAATAGTGAACCGCAACGTTGAGATATGGCGTATCAACCACACAACCATGGTGAATAGTGAACCGCAACGTTGAGATGTGACGTATTAACTTCACAACTATCACCATGGTGAATAGTGACCGCAACGTTGAGATGTGGCGTATCAACTTCACAACCATGGTGACTAATGAACCGCAACGTTGAGCTTTACAAATTTAAAAAAATACGATAAAAAAACAAAAAAACGACATCCAACAGTGAGGCCAGTTTTTCTTACATCCCAACATCAATTTATTTATCGATGAGTTCGAATTATTTATTTTCATTAGTTTAATCTTCAGCGATACTTTATACAGCACGTAAGCTAAACGGTTAAATCTGAGACATCAAGATTTAAACATAGCCGTAACTAATAACAACCGCTGACCAGAGGGGAGAGCAGCCAGTAAAGAGAACCCGGTACCTTCACGGCTACTTTTAATCGAACAGTATGATTGACTGTTACTTTTATAATGCTATCACAGTTGAAAGTGCTGTACATGTTCGGCAGCATATCGCGTGCTCGAACCTTGGACTTTGAGATCCACATCTCGGCACTCTAATTACCGAAACTGCCGATTTGTCAATAAAAGTTTACGAACAACAAAAAAAAACTCTGAAAGTGGAAAACTAAAGTTACTAACCTAAACTCTTATGGAGATACGTAATGCGTTACTCTTTCCAATAAACAAATGTGTACATATTTTTGTGCGGTTCGCGAGCGTTCGAAAATATCAAAAGTTGTTGAAGAACGCTTTTTTGTATATATATATTTACATATTTCAACCGTCAATGCAGTGATGATTATAATTCGAAAATACATATTCAGTGATGGAATATTTAACTATTGATTATTCAGTTTTTTTTAATGTCATTAGCTCTTAATGATATGCTTTGTTTTGTTGTTATTGTTTGTTGTTTTTTTGTGAAATTTGGATTTTCTTTAAAACCATCTATTAGTCCTAGTGAAACATCCTCTTTCTCCTTTTAATTTTTGAATATTTGAACACATTTTACACGCACTACCTCACCGGCCTAAAAAACAAAAAAAAAGATCATTTTATGTATTCATACAGAAAGTCTAATTATAACAGTTCATCATAAGAGACAGAGATGAATAACCTTTTGACGCATTTGATAAAAGAGTCAGAACAGTCATTGTTTTTAAAAGTCGATGATCGTATCTTAGAAGGCAACTAACTTATTATTTTTTTTAGGATTCTGCCCATTTCTATTCTTTCTTGATCACGTGATGTCACTCGCGTGTCTAACGTGTTTTGTAGAACGGTTGATTAATATTATCTATTCATTAGTCTGAAGTAATGACTTGGATATATGATGCAATCTATATACTCATTAGCTTTATTCCTACCCAAGACCCTATTCTATTAACCCGAATCATTGCTTTTTATTCATGAAAGCCATAATTATTTATTGAAGCGGAAGAAGACGCCAACAAAAAAAAGAGCTAACAAAAACCACCACTTGGAACTAGTATCATTCCACTTTAGACAATGCTTCGTTTGGAGGAGATGTATAGAACAATAAGTGTAAACGTTCTTGGAAAAAATAAATTACTAAAAGAACGTGAAACAACAGTTATTGGAAGTTAAGAATTGCAAGTTCTCGTCAGAGACCGCATGAAAATTGAAGTTTTCAATTTGTTTGTTTGTTTAACAGCAAAGCCGCATTGGGCTATCCGCTGTGTCCACCGCGAGGAATCGAATCTCAGACTTTAGCGTTGTAAGTTCGTAGACTTACTGCTGTCCCATCGGCGGACAATGTTTTTTAAAAATGACTTAAGTAAATGATAAACACACATAACTAAAATGTTCGTTACTCCTTACCCCATGAGACCTTTCATGCAATGAAGTTAAATCGTCGAAAGATTTTATGTTCAAAATACCCTGCACTTAAGGAAAGGTATCCTTAGGGTTTTGTGTAAAAAAAAATATTAACAAATCAGATAAATTGGAAAATGAAAAAAGGTGGAGAAAATTGAAGTAGAATTTTTCTTTAGAGCAACCTTAAGCCTGATTCATTGCAATCAAACAAAAGTACATAGGTATGCTTTAATAAGGCTTAAAATTATTAAAGGGTTAAAATATTTTCAAATTTCTTCATTGCTATTTCTCAAACTAAACTTCGTTGATAGCTAGCATTTAGATACTAGTGCCATCTATATTATCTGTGAGTGATGTATTCTAGGACAAAGCGACTGTGAACATGTTACGTGTTTAAGAGCTACATTATTCATTCGTTTCTGTTTTCGAGTGGTGCCGTGTGCTATAAAATAAAATAAAAGCACCATAGTATGTCTGTTTACGGAGCTGTTAAAGATAAACTACTGTTCGTCTGCATAATATATTGATATACGTGACGTATTTTAATGTTAACTTACACGTCTTGTTCGTGCACAATTAAGGGCGAACTCTGAGGTCTGTGTGAGATAATGGAAGATATACAGAGGTTGAGTAGGTCAGATTAAAACGATTTTAGAGCCACACAGTCGTTACAGTCCATGTCGCAACGTTTTATTACGTTCTATCTGATGACCCTGATTATTGTCAATAGGCCTGCAGCGTAGATTCTATCGCAAAAAGGTTTCGTCTTAAGGATAGCATATCCAAAGCACACTACTCCTCTCTGTAGCTTTCCATAAACCAACTAATGTAGGAGCATGACAGTTTTCCAGTGTCCGTTTCAAGAGTCCGATTGCACAGAAATTCATAGGCGCTGTATCCGGCAACTTGACCTTTATATCTTCGCATAAAATAGAATCAATACCCGTTGCATTCTTCAGCTGCTTCAGATATGCTATGGTTGAACGGGAGGTATTATTGAAAGCTTCATATTGGTGAACTCATACCCTTTCCGTACAATCCGGCATTTCTGTGTGGTACAAAGGGGTCCAGAACAATAGTGCGATAGTAAACAGAGTCCACCGTGATTTTTGTATCTACTGTCCTTATCTCTTCAAAAAGTTTTGCGACATGCCACCTTTTGGGAGTATTTTTCATACACTGACCAGGTAAGAAATGGCACGAGAATTATTACAGTTATCAAACTACACATACGTTTCGTCGAGTTTCACCGTGCACTTCCAGTTTTTCCCGACTAGATAACGTTCATATACTTAATCTACCCTTCCAGGATATATCGTGAAAGTAAACTCGGTACACGTATGTCACTTTTCCAGACTGATATCCT